CACCAAGCCAGAGAAAACATCCAATTTGGGGTGCTGAGAAGTGTGGGGTGGGACTCAGCCCTTGCCAGAGGAATGCCAAGCCAGGCTCAGACCCTCCCACCGCAGGAGGAGAAAGTCCTGTGGGGCTTGGGACTTCAGAGGCAGCTGGGGAAGGAATGACCCCCCCGAAAGGAGGCATTGCCTGGGGAGAAAAGGGCACCACAGCTGCAAATGAAACCCTCTCCCACCATCGAGCGCTGAGCTGGGCTTCACTAACGAGGTCAACAAAGTCGCGTGGATGCCCAAGGCACGATGACATTGCGGGACTGGCTGACACTACAGAGGCTGGAGGCCAAGACCCCAGTGGCAATTAGAGAAAATCATGGAAGAAAGCTCCCTGCTGACTATCCGGCCCATGAGAGCCCAGCCCGGGTGTGATGCCCAGCTCAGGACACCGTCCAAGGGCTGCTCGGCAGGGCTGGGGACTGGCAAAAGCTGGCTCCCTGCATGCTCTTGTCCCCTCCAACTTTTGGGGAGATGCCTTTGTCCTGCTCCATCCCTCAGGGCACATCAACTCCAGGCACCCAACACCAGACAGACGTGCAGGCTCTGATTTCTGGAACCCAGGGGACTGGAGGTCCCCCTGTAGCCACCCCCCCCAATCCTGAGCTCCCAGCTCCGGGGGCTGGTGAAGGCTGGACACAGTCACGATGCACCAAACCTGGTGCCAGCAAGATCCCAAACCTCACCACCAAGACCTGCACCCCCTTACCATCAAAGGTGACCGTTGTCCTGGGGGTGGCATCCAGGTCAGTGGCAGACCGCCGTGACTGGTAGCCCATGGCTGCCGCCACAAAGAGAGCTGTCAGGAGATGGGCCGTGCCTCCGCTCATCTTCCCGCTCCCCCAGCGGGGGCAGCTGCCCAGGCTGCTGCCTCCGGGCCGGCACAGCCAATCCTCGGGATGGGCTCCCCAGCTCCCCAGGATGGGGCTGGCCTCCAAACCCTCCTGAAACACAGAGCACCAGGTCAGACACTCCCACTGTCCCCAGCACCTCATAGGCAAGCGAGCTTGGGAAGGAGCTGGCTGCACGCATGCATGGACGCTTGACCGGGCATGGCCTCAGCCCAGGGATGGCTTCAGGGAAAAGCAAACCCTCGTTTGCCAAAGGGGAAACCGAGGCACAGCGCAAGGCATCGAGCCTGCAGCCAGCACAGGGCAGGGAGGGCAGTCTGAGCGGAGCAAACCCCCGCAGCATCCCCCCGGCTCAGTGTCTGCTCTGTCGCAGCAGCAGCAGCAGCAGTCACTTGCTGAGCGCTTGCTTTGGTTGCTCAGAGGCTCATTTTCCTCCAGGTCTGCTCCGGGCTCCTCCTTCCATCACTCCCAGACATCTTCTCCCGCACCTCCCCCTGACCAAAGGACACACTTCTGCAGAGCCAGCTGATCCCCCATTGCATTTTCACACCCGAAAAGCAGGCACATTTACCCCCAGAAGGAGAGAGTGGGGCTCGGGGCCAAGCCCCTCTGCAGGTCTCTTGGTGTGTTGGGGTACCCCAAGCCCCACTCCCCAGAGCAGCTGTGGTGGGACAGGCAGCAGGGGGCTCCCAAGGAGCCCAAGGGCTCCGCCCGAAAGCACGGCTGGCCATCTCCTGCTGTGTGAGACGCTTGTCCCCAAAGTTTTGCCCCTCCTGAAACTACAAGACTCCTGAGGACAGAGGCGTGGGGAAGGATGCTGCAGGCACTCAGCGACACAGAGCAAAGGAAAACCCATACAGGAGCCGCTTGGCATTTTCATCAAGTCTTTTCAAGCAAGAACAGTTTTTCCCCCCCAGTGTTTTTCCATAAGATTTCAGTTTCTCTTTCATCCCAAGCTGCCTCGAAGCTCAGCATCTATCTCAGCTCTCGCTTTCATGCATCCAATCCCTCCTGAATAACCCCCTACCTCTCCCAGCTGCTTCGAGCAAAGCCACCAGTTCATTTTGCAGGCGCTAAGGAGGAAGGAGACGATCGGGTATCTCTGAACGGGAGACCTCCCCATAAAGTGAACAGCACCTATATGTTTGCTTAGGGTTGGGGTTTTTTAATATACATACAAACCAAATACCTGACCCTGTAGAGAAGCTGTTCAAACACGCTTGTTGCAGACGATCTCCCTGAAGGAAATACCTCGCTGGGTCTCGGGCAGAGGGGAGGTAAAACCAAAGTGAAACGAAAGTGAAAAAGGCTTCAGGGCTGAAAAGGAGAAGTGAGAGGCTGGATGTAGGATCCAGCCATAGTCCTGGAGCCTGCATTAAACTGCTGTTTCCTTCAGAGGGGGGTTCAGACCCAGACCTTGCACCTGCACTGGCCGCTGCCCTGAAGCATCCCAGGAATGGGGCAGAGGGGAGATGTCCCCCCCGCCTCGCTCCACCCCAGGCACCGGCCCAGCACAGAGCACCCATACAGCACCCAGCCCCGGGAGCGGGCAGGGTGCTGACTGGGGGGCTGAGCTCCCCAGGGAGCAGAGGACAGCACCCCAGAGCATACTCCCTCCAAAGAACTTCTGTTCCCAGGACAAGCCCTGTCTGGACCAAAGGTCTCCTCATGAGTGATGGGCCTGGCAGGGTGATGCAAGGTGGGTGAGTGGGGATGGAGGTCAATGAGAAAGAAGTTGCTTTGGTGGCACCATGTCTAGCATGAGCTAAAGCCACCGAGATTTTTGGGCAAAGCAAGCAGCAGGGTCACATCTGGAGCACCAAATCACCCGAAACTGCTCCAACCAGCCCCATGCTGACCCCTCTCCATCCTACCAGCGGGACTGGGGCCACCATGGCAGCTGCAGGGACCCTTCCCCAGGCCTCCGCGCAGGGACACAAGCCCAGAATCACGCACAAGCCACAAGAGCTGCCATGCACCTGGGCTGGGAAAGCAGAGGGGAAGAGAAACCTTCTTACAACAAGACAAACAACGATCTCTTAATAAATGAGTAACAGCCCTGCGAGCTGCCTGCACGCTGCCAGACATCCTTGCCTTATCTCCCCCGAACAAACAAGCCCTGAACTTTGCCTGCTGCCCGGCTCTGGGTGCGATGGGGATTGGAGCTGGGAGTGCAGCCGGGCAGGGAGGCAGGGATGTTGCTTATCACAGGGCAAGTGCCACACTGCGAGCCAGCCCCAGCTAACATTTAACCAGCGTGAGCACCGAGCCAGCACAGGGAGGGGAAATAAAAATAATAAAGCAAGCTGTGGGGCTGTGCAGGGTTTCTAGGTGGGCAGGGGCAGGGGGAGCAGCCTCCCCTGCCGCTGAGGCTAGGCTCCTCTGCTTCTTCCAGGGGAGCAGCTACACCTGTTTCCAAAAGCTCCTTTGCCCAAGATCAGATGTAACTTTGTCCTAAAGGACATTTAATCAGTTAGCTGTAAGAGGCAGTTAATATTTTACTCAAAGGGAAGGGCTGCTCCGAGCTCCTCTTTATTTTATTTTTTTTCATTTTTTATTTTTCATACCTAGTGTGGGGGAGAAAGAGCAAGAAGGAACTGAAACCATCCTTGGCCCCACTCAGATAGCCACCACGGGCTGCAGCCACACCAAACACTCCCAAACGCATCATTTCTCCCTTGGAAGGGTGCAAGTTCAAAGCTCAGGGTGAAGGCGAGGGCCAGGGTGGGAGACAGGGGAGATCTTGGCCCATGGGACCCACCGGTTGGGCTGGGGGTGGCTGGATTGCTGAGGCCCAGCCCTTCCATGGGAAACAGGGAAAAGCCAGGAGGGGAAATGCCACAGAGAGCTTTCTCTGGGGGAGGGACACAAAAGGGGGGGAGGAAGAGGCTGAAAAGCAGCAGCAGCTCCAATGAAATCTGGGGTTTAAGAGAAAACGGCCCAGAGAAGCCCACCCCATCCCCAGGAGTGAGCTCCCAAGCCCCTCGACACCTCACCTACTTCCCAGCACGGGGGGGGGCTGACATAGGACCCAAAATCCAGACCCAGCTCCCGCCCCAGCCAGTGACGCTGAAGGAGAAGGTTGGTGGAGGCAGGATCTGGCCACGGGGCTGACAGCCGCCCCAAGAGCAGGGCGAAGCCAGGAACCAGCTGCTCTAATGGCAATGTCCAACGTCCACGGGGGCCAAAGCCCACCCTCCTACCGCTGGCTACCAGTGCTCCTGTGGGATGCAGCCACGGTTCCCAGAAGAGCCAGGCAAGCCCAACGCAGGCACCAGCTCCCACCAGCGGGACTGGTTTGCTGGTCCCCGGGGAACGCCAGGAAAGCAGCAGGGCGGCAGAGGTGTGCAGGCGTGCATGAGCGTGCAGGGGAGCGAGCGAGCAAGCGAGCCCCGGTCAGGTCTGACTGGGTTTACTGGGTCACGATGGAAGCTGTGCGAGCGTGACTGTGCCGGCCTCAGCCTCCCACCAGCAGCCAGCCAGTGCAGCACACCCAAACGAGCCGGCCCAGTCGGCACCTCCTTAAAATCCCCACGACCAGCGTCTCTGGAGGCACAAAAAGCTTTTGATGAGTGAATTTCCCAGCGGCAGGTCTCACCAGCCTGGATTGGGCCAAAGAAACCAGTCAAAGCTGCTGCACCCCTCGAAGGCCGCTGCACCGGGAGCTTCTGCTGCCCCGCAGTCCTCAAAGCCACGAGGCAGCAAAATCTGGGAGCAAGACCCAGCTGCAAGCTGTGGTGGGGGGAAACTGCGTTGTCAGTGGGGCTGGCAAATATGGAAGGACCTCAGCTGGGGTTTTATGGGTCCCCCATAGCTGTTTCCTCAGCTGCACAGCAGAAAACAATGCCAGCTTTTTAATTTAAAGGGAACCCAGGAGAAAGAATGGAAACACCCAGTGGAAGCAGCCCTTCTCCAGCTCAACCCCAGCATCCGTCCTGGATGGCAGGACAGAGATTTGCAGAGTGCAATCGGACGCTTCTCCATCCTGCTGCTCTGTGGACAGCTTGTGGTTGCTCCACCAAGCTCTAGTAAAGCACAAGCAGGCTCCCAGAATGGCTGCCAGACCTTTCTCCCCTCCTCGTGGGCTGCCCTTCTTGGCATCGTGCATTCCTACAAGCAAGGGCTGCTGGCTTCCCAGTGGGGACCAGGATTTCCATCAGGTCTCCTCCGGGTTACGGGGTTGCAAAACAGCCTTAACAAGACTCCTGGCAGCGACTGCACCAGGAGACACCGTTTACACCTTGCTTTTTCATGGCAGCCAGCCCAGGTGCTCCAAACCCCGCACAGCCGATTCAGCTTTACTCATTGGGGCCAAGCCTGGCCCGTGACCCCCCCCGGCCCCCTTAGCTCCCCCGCCACCCACTCCCCCAGCCATGTTCCCACTGGCCCAGCACCATTTTACCCACCCAGGGACCCATGAAAGTTGCCCTTGGGTTCAGCTAAAACAGCCCGACCCATTCCCGGCGCAGGGCTGGGGGGAAAGGCACCCGCCCCAGGGGACGAGGTGGAGAGAGCTCCCGGCTCCCAGGCGTGGGAATGAGCCAGGGAATTACGGGAAAAGAGCCATCCAGTGAGAGGCGAGCCTGGCCCCTGCCTGGCTGCGAGCATGGCGCGTTTCGGGCCCCCTCTCCCCGGAGCCAGCAGACCTCAGGTGGGAAATCCTGCGAGATGTGGGAAGAGGAGCAGGGATGGAGGTTGCCAGGCAACTTTAATTCAGCCCTTGACGAACTTCCAGCACTTTGCTTCTGCTGCGGAGCCCAACCAGCAAATGATAAAACATCACGTCCACCTCGAGCCCATGGTGTCCATCCGTCTGTCCATCACAGAGGCTTGCTCATGGCCTTGTGCCTGGGCACCCCCCCGCCCCCAGCAGCATCCCCGAAGGCCAGCCCGGGATGAGCCGTCCTTCCCAGCAGAGATTTGCAGGG